CTCTCCCCTGGCTGTCCCATCAGCTCTTCATTCGCAGTTACTGCAGCGCTAACAGCCCTCTGTGAGTTTACTTGTGTTTCTAGTGAAAGGCCAACAAAACACTGCATTTGCTATTTGTGCTTGCTAATGATTATTCTGATTAGCTCAGTTCTGTCAGCTGACTTCCAGGCAGCCAGAGCCAACAGTAGCCTGCTCATTCAGTCAGGGCCTGGTCCATTTTCTAATTACCAGCATCATTTGGACTCCTTTTCCCCAACTGTGAACTTGCTTGAGTTCAGTTGTCAGTTGTCATCAGCTGTTGCACTTACATGAGAAATGGATGATCTGTCACATTTGTCCTCCTGCCAGCCTCCCCCTCCCTCCCTGCTGGAGAGCAAGCACAGAATGGCATGTGCTTCTCTGGGTTCCCAGGCCGCCGGCTGGGCTGCAGAGGCTGAACAGCAACTGGGACCACAAGGCAGACTGTGGAGGCTGATAGATGTGTTGGCCCTCACTGAGCTGGCCAGGGTGACCTCTTCCCAGCTTCTGAAACTGAAATTGATTCCCTACTCACAGGGTTGACAAGATCAACAATTGTCCCCGTTGACCTAAGACCAAGGGCTTTCCTAGAACCTGGGGCTTTCATTGCTAAAATGGAGAAGGTAGGTTATCCTGTATCTGTTAGGGCAAAGGCCATACAAGAGCATTCACAAATTCCTGTGTGACTGATCTATTATATGGGACAGAGAATGACTGGATGCTGTGGCTCCATCGTGTGCTGTCAGGTCTGAAACTTTAACACATCCCTTCATTGCTCTATACCTTAGTTTGTTTCTAATCTCTACTGCAGATCAGACAGGATGAAGCATTATTCCCAATAAACATACGGCTAAGCTGCAGTCCACAGGCACGTCCTGAGCTAAGGGTGGTACCAAGGAGGAAGGGCTGGGTATGCATCATCCTTAAACTACTCTTCCCAGATTAAAAACATTTCAAGTATTTATTTTGTATCAGGCGCCATGGACAATTCAGGCATCCATCCTGTTTGCTCCCTATCCTCACAGAGCTGACAAGCCCATGGTAGAGACAGATACAAACACAATGAACTATGTTTGTTCTGAGGTGATGTAGGGTGTCACTAGGATGGAGGAAAGGCCACGAGAACCAGGGAAGGGAAAGTGGGGCAGTTCTACCTACTGTGCACCAACTAAATTCATTCACTTAAGAGCTAGCATTGCCCAAGCACTTACCATGTGACTAATCTAATTTCTATAACTCCATTATGTTTATTCTATGAATGAAGTTTGAAAAGGCAAGTATCTTGTTCAAGGTTGGAAGTAAATGAAAGGTTTGAACCCAGGGTCTGAGTCTTATGTTCTGTGTGATGCTGAACCTCCTACTTTTGTGGATCCTCCAGATGACCCATGTGCCAGACGTGCAGTCAGCCCTATTCAAAGCCACAGAGTGGACTCCCACACAGAAGACTGTGGCTGCACATGGAAGGCGGAGGAGGTGGGGTTCAAGTTTTTCGCTGGAATTCTAAGGCATGACTCCAGGAATGTCCCATGGATGCTGTGGGACTTCTGGGAACACTGCTGTTTTGAAGGAAACTGGCTGGACAAATGCTGCCCTTTGGACCTCAGATGCATTACAGTATTAAGACTGTATGGCCAGAATGTGAAGGCAAATGCCTGACTATCCTGCAGAAACGAAGAACACATTCATCATGTGTGTTTTCTATACTGTGTTGTTTCCTCACAGCATATCTCTCATACAAAACATATAACATCTGAATGCGGAGTGTTTGGTATGTACAGAATAACTGCATTGATTTGGGGCTGGTGAGATGGCTTGGCACATCAAGGTGCCTGCCAACAAACCTGCTGGCCTGAATTCATTCCTGGGACCTACATGGTGGAAGGAGAGAACCGACTTAAGCAAGCTGTCCTCTGGCCTCCACACGTTCCAGCAGTGCACACACACGCACACACATATGTAATAAATAACTAAGTCTGAAAATCCAAAAATTTGGGCTAGAGAGATGGCTCAGCAGTTAAGAGCACTGGCTGCTCTTGCAGAGGACCCGGGTTCAATTCCCAGCACCCACATGACAGTTAACAACCACCCATAACTTCAGTTCCAGGGGATCAGACACCTTTCTCGGACATGGGTACACTTACATGTATGCAGGCAATACACTCATACACATACTCTAGTATCTGGGGGATCCAGCACCTGTGGCTTCTGTAGGCACCTGAACTCACTTATTTATAAAAACAAATCTTTAAAAAAAGTTGTAAAAAATTTTGCTTTGCTAGATCTGATTATAATATGCACATAGCGACCGCTGACTTAGTAAGTCAGGGATTCTAGCAATATCAGCCAGTGAAATGTCGTCAGTGACAATCCATAAGTGATACTGGATATTAAGCATCTGAGCCCAATACCATAAATTTCTGTTGTTCTTGAGATGGGGTCCCTCTACAGAGCTCTGACTGGCTGGGAACCTACCAAGCAGACCAGGCTAGACTCAAAATTACAGCGATCTTCCTGTCTCTGTCTCCAACATTCTGGGATTACAGGTATATAAAAACATGCCCAGATACCATATAATCATTAAATTCAGAAACATTCGTGGTATCTAATTCTATGATTTACAGGTTTGGGTTTGTGTAAACAGCAAACACATGATTTCACTATAATTAAAAAGCAAACATGTAGGGAGATACATTTTAAGTAAGATTTTTTTTAAAAAATAGAAGCTTTCTGGGGAAACTGACACTTTTCTTGGTCAAATCCATTTTTAACAATTCCTCTTTAGGCTGGCTAATCAGGGTTTTTCTGCCAGGCCCCCAAGGAAGCTCCTATATAGACTATTGTCTTGTTCAGGGCCCGGCTATGAGGCTGGGCCCACAAGGCGGCTGCTGGTAGTACCAGGTACTACGATCCCTGGAGCCCTTCTTCAGCTATAAACGATAACTGATTTTTGATGGCACAGAAAGGCTTTCTCTCCTTGCTGATGTACACTCAGCGTTACCCCACAAAGGCCTTTATGATTCTGAGCATAAAGGAGACCTTGACATTCGGCTCCATCTAGCCCATGTTTGTGCATTTAGTTCAGCAAAACTGAAAAGCCTGAGTGCCCAGCACAGCCTTGCCTAGCAGTCCTGGGGTCTCAGGACAGTGCTCTCTTCTACCAGAGCCTGGTCCCTGAGGGGACCTGAACCCCCATGCCCAGAAACACTGCTGTCCTGCTTCTTTATTTACATGGCCCCGCTCTACCACTTCCTTCGTCCTTGACATTTTCTGAAATTAGCTCTATCAACTGTTTCCAGTACTTAACCTCCTTGGAGTTGTTTGCACAACCTTTTCCTCCTGTACCGGCTGTTTACCCTCAATGCTCTTTATAAAGAACAAACTAGCAAATCCACCATCGTGCATTTTGGTTTTCATTCCATGTGAGTCCTACAGTGATGCTCAGCTGTTACTCAGAACTTGCCCCCAAGAGCTTTCTAGAAACCCGCTGTGAAAGAAAATGAAGACGACTCTCTATTCTTTAGCCAATGATGTGAGAGATGCTTCAACTTGTGAAAAGTCTTGCTTTGTTCCACCGTAATAGTGATACAAAGAAAAGTGCTTTGCAGTGTATTCCCTAGTACGATCGTAGACTGCACAATGGGAAATTCTGAAGGTGATATATAAAATTCACCAATATCTGCTTTGCTAGATCTGGACAACACCTGAGGTGCCAAACAGTTTACCCATGACCTGTTCACACATTGACCAGTGCAGACCAACCAATCCACAGCCCATACCCAACCACCTCCTACATAACACTCTCACACTAAGCACCCCAAGCCAGGTAGCAGATAACTCGGGACAGCAGCTACGCTCCAAAGCCTGCTGAGATCTTTCAAATGAGTCTACAATAGGCCTGTTTCCCTGTTCCACCTTACTCCTGCCTGACCTGGCGTGTCCTCAATACGGCTGCTTTTGACATGGCATGGCTCACCATGACTCTTTCTCTGGGGATATGTAAATAGAACAAAATACCTTTTCAATGGTCGTCGTGTGGGCTATTGGCCTCAAGTATCTAAATAATAATAAAACCTATCATTTCAAACTGTGGATGAGAAAAAAGAATCCCAAGTAACAGAAGATTGGGCCATTATTTAAGAGGACTTGGAGAAGATGTTGTCAACTGTATTTAGCAAAACTGCCACTTTAAATGTTTCAAGAAAAAAAAGCATAATTTTTGTACAAAGCAATGTATCATAGTGGGTAGAAAGGTACTCACTAGAGTCACTGGAAAGAGCTGTGATGCAAGCATCCACATTAATGTGTTACTTGTTTAAAAGGCGATGCATTTTGGGGGTCCTTGATTTTTCAAATGTATCTTGAATTCAACAGTGAATGTAGCTTATAAAGAAATTCAAAGCAGACCCAATTCATCCGTATGGTAAAGTCCGAGTTTTATCTAGAACTGTCTGGATTCTAGTACACCCATGGTGGCATCACCCAAGGGAGTCAGTATGAAAAGCATAGTCGGTACAATGCTGTGCTCTTGTTCAGGGCTTACTTCTACCCCATGCGAAGTTTCACTTGGCTTTGTGTGTTTAGGTGGTGGCATACAGTAGGAGCTAAATATTCATCTACTAACTAAGGAAATGTTTCACTGGCCAATAACATAGGAGATAACATGATAGCTCAAAGAAGCCACTTTAAGAAGTCAAGTAAATAAGTGAAATATTTCAGAGCTGACCTCTAAGGCTACTTTTTCTGGCCCAAACCATTATACCCCTACTACATTATGTCACCTCCCAGAGAGCAACCTGAGATACTTATTTGGCTGCAATGGACATTCAGACATGCCCTGGTCCTTTGTTGACCACTGACTCTGGTCCAATTCTACAATCCCCCAGCTAACAGCTTATGGGCACTTTCCACAGGTCTCCCAGCACACGGTGACACGGGGCTGGTTCTTGGTGTGACCTAGTGCCTTTACTACAGAAGACACTTACCAAGGGCTCTAGCTCCTTGCGGTCTATGAGGTTCATCTCTGTGACAAAGAAATAGAAGTGTTTGTAGCAGGTGTTGACGTGAGCCTCTGCACCCATCACAATGACCCGGTCGAAGTGGTGGATGTAGACGTGGACAAAGACCCGAAAAAGGCGGCACAGGATCTTCTTGCAGATTTGAAGGAAGTTCTTTGGGAAGGGGACGCCTAGAGGAGCAAAAAGAGAAAGGCACAAAGATGATGGGAAGGCTCTTTCCCTCACAGCTAACCAGGGAAAGACAGGAGGAGGTGACACTGCCATGTTGGAGTGGGGGTGGCACTCCTCACCACATCGGAGTCAAGGGAGGGGAGGGCTGTAGCAGATTAAAAGCACCGTCCCACTTCCAGGTGCAAGTGCATGTCTACTCCACTCCAGTCAACGGTGGCCAGAGGGGGACGGAGGTCCAGGGTGGTCAGAACTTTGGACTGCTCAAGAGAATTCAGAAATCTGGACTTTTATGAAAACCCATAGCCTTTAAAAAGGTTAACTATAAATTTGCATTCTTAAAATTTCCTGCCAGATCAAACAAAACATCAGTCTACATGAGACTCCAGCTTGCACATTCTGATTAAAAGCTTGTCCCGAGGTACACTGTCTCTAGGTTGGGGAGTTTCAACCAACCTCATTTACTGCACGACTCAATTCCCCTTCACCTCTTTGAGGGTGAGGTGTTGATGGGCTATGTTTTCATGCACAGAAAGGACAAGTGGCTAGAAGAGTCACTCAGATTTCCTGTCTGATGACCACAACTTCCAGCTGAGTCAAAGCAGCAAATGGCAGAGTCTCCAGCGTGCTTCCTCCCTCTCTCAGATGTTTTTCAAACTCTCGCTCTTTACGCTGTCTAAGTGGTAGCCAGTTGTAATGGACTGCTCAGTTAAACAGACTTTGTTTGAATTCCTACTCTGTTCCTCTCCCAGATATATGACCATGAAGAGATAGTTATTTAACTTTTGGTTTCTCATCTGTAAGGGGGGGAGGGTCAGAGCAAGGCCTTCCTTGCATGGTGGGGAGGGTATCACCATGACTAAGATTTTCACATAGGAGGGGCTCACAGATGGGCCTGACCTGCTTCTCTCTGCAAGGTAAAGTCTGAAGCAAGGAGTTAGTGTTAGAAGGAAAGTCCCCTTGTCCAGAAAGGACAGGTGCAACCATCAACCTTCCATCAGCATTGCATGGTTGTGCTGGGGACATAGTCTGGTTCCTAGTAAGCCTGGGGTTTTGCTATTCTTAGCTCCACAGAGACCTGAGGCAGTTGCATGCTATGAAATGTTCTGTAAGGGGACCTTGGACCACCCAGGGCAGGACAGGAGACATGGAACATGTCTAATAGCCAGCTGTGACAGGGTCTGTCTTCCCAAGTCCCTACACTGATACCAGCTTTTCTTAAAAAATAAAATAAAAGTGGACAGGAGTGTGGTACAGACCTTTAATTCCAGCACTTTGGACGCAGAGGCAGGTGGCTCTCTGTGAGACTGAGGCCAGCCTGGTCTACATAGCAAATTCTAAGCCAGCTGTGGCTACAGAGAGACCCTGTCTCAAAAAACAAAAACAGAACAAAATAATAAATCAAAAGTGGCACTATACCAAATGAACTCAGGGAGAGTGTGGGCATACTGGGGCAGCTAAATGACAGGGTAACAGATGCTGGGATTTAGGGATTAGGTACAGCGGGGGCAGCCATATGAAGGGCTTCTGGGCTATCTCTGGTGACACAGGGCTGCTGAACCACCACTGAAATCTGGGAGAGGGTTCAGAATCCTCCAAGAAACCCGAAGAGGTGACAGCATCCCCTCTAACATAGGTAAGTGAGCTGGAGAAAGGAAATCTTGTTCCTCCCACCAGAAAGCTAAATGGTTATCTTCACAAGCTGCCTAGAAAATACTTTTATTATTCCCATTTCACAGATGAATAATATAGAGGCTTTGAAGCACGGATTATCACGTTAAAAAGCAACAGCACCATGATTTCAAACAACTCAACTCAATTCTAAAACCCAAAGAACAGGTACCTTTGGAGTGTGACTTGGCCTTGTGCCTAGGCTGGAGGCACCATTCAACAGCTGGGCACAGTGAAGCATTCGAAATTTACTTTGTAACAATGCAGGAACATAAACAAGCAGGGGAAAATGGATGAAGAAGGATGCTGAACATTTTTAAAAGTGTTTCTTAGCCATTTTTATTTCTTCTTTTGAGAATTCTGTTCAGATTCATAGCCCATCTTTTAATTGGGCCATTTGTTTTCTTGATTGTTTTTTGACTTCTTTATAAATTCTGAATATTAATCCTCTGTCAGGTGTGTAGTTGGTGAAGATTTTCTCCCACTCTGTGGGTTTCCTCTTCACTTCCTTGGTTGTTTCTTTGGTTATACAGAAGCTTTTTAGTTTAATGAGGTTCAACTTATTAATTGTTGACCTTAATACACATGGCTGGAGAGGTCATAGATACTAGAGAAAACCCTAAGGCTGCCACATCCTTAGGCAAATGTAATTTCTTACCATATGCTAAATATAGATCCTTAGATTTACAGACAAATATGCCAGTCACCAGTCTTCAAAGAAGCTTCTTTTGCAATAGATAGACTATTACAGACTTCCACAACTGGTCACACACAGAGAATACGTGTCTATGAGATGCCCAGCCCTAAGTGACACATCTACAATGGAACCTCTACACCTAAGCTTCACAGAACATAGTGGAGCAGGGGTAGAGAGAATACAAATGCATCTTTCAACTCTCATCAACAAAACTCCCTCATGCAACAGAGAACAATGAACACAAAAAGCCATAAATGGTCAAAGCATAGATAATAAGAGTCTGCAGACTGTGGATCCCTGGACAAGACTCCTATATTAAATTTCACCCACCCAGGGCTCAGAGTCCATTGTGGAAGAGGGGGTGGAAAGATTGTGAGAGCCGGAAGAGGAGGTGCATGATTATGTAGAAACAGAGTCTTTATAGGTTCCTAGGACCTTGCCCATATGACCCTTCAGTAACCATGTCAGTATGTAGAAGACCCATGCAAATGCAAGCAGACAAAAACCCAGCATAGAACTGGGGAAATAGGCAGGAGGCCCCAACCTTAACCAAAGAACTATTGGGCAGCTGATTACTGCTGGGTAATGGAGAGTTGATCTAGGGAGAGACCCTAGATAGGATGACTAGACCTTGCACTGAGGGACATCTGGGTACACTAACTTGAGATGACAGGCCTTAACATATATGACAGAATACATGAAATCCAATGAGAAGGCCTTTAGAGTGTGATGAGTATAAAGATGATTAAGATGCTCTGTATGAAATTCATAAGAATTCAATAAAAATATACACAAAAATTAATTAATGAAAAAAATTTTTAACTTTTAAAAAGGGACACAAAGAAACAGGCAGGAAATATTCCACAGCACCAGAAACCTCATTCCGAGGGTGGGAAGCCAGCTAACATACTCTGTTACCTGCGGGAAGAAATGTCCTTTTCCTGCTTAGGCCTGAAGACTGCAGACCTGGGGCTAATGGTAGAGCTAATAGCTACTGAGCACTAGGGACCACGGAACAACAGTTTCATGGATTAGATGACTGAATCCTCAGAAGAGCCCTTAAATTATTGTTTCTATGCCACAGATGAATAAATACAATTAAGTAGCTAAGCAGGGATACTTTGCTGACAGCTAGAGGAGGAATTTGGACCCAGGTCATCTGACTCATGTGCACCCAGCACCCTGAAATCCTTCCATGTTGGGGTAGGGTTGTATATGGTCCTCTGAGGAGGTAGCTTGAACTCCCTGGAGTGCCTTCACCTTTCATTTCCCTGGCTCCAGTCTGGAAGAGGCTCATCATCTGTCAGGGGACATGAGACATTCCAGCTGTCATTACAACCCAGTTCCCACACTCCACATGCTAACTCCAGAGGAGGTGAAGTGTAGGACACGAGGATGCTCATAAAAACTGCTGGGTCCCTCTAGATTATTCCCAAGCTGCTCCCCACTATGCCCTATCCCCATCTGCTCTGCTCTGGACCCCTTGGTTCTGTCTTCCTTCATTCCATACCTGGTCTCTGGCCCTATCTGTGGGCTGGAAGATGGTTGCCTCTTGGTTCTTTTCTTTGGGTTATAGCTTTAGACTGGCTATGACAAGTTGGTTTGCAGTCTAAAAGCCCTGCTTTAACATTCTGGTCCTTCTACATACTGGCTGTACAGGCAAGTTAAATCATCATTCTGTCTTACTACAAAACCAATAAATGATGTTCTTACCATTTTACCTGTACTGTGCCTGGAACTTCAAGAGAACATTGGGACTAAGCTCTGCTTTTGATATTTCCCACCTAATCTTCTCCAGTAGAAGGGTGCCAGGCTCAGGATCTCTTGGTTCTGGCTGTAAAGTCGGGGTGACTTCCACCATTTGTTCTCTTACCTATAACTCATTCTTCAAAAGCAGAAGCTGCAAATGGCTCATGTTAAGATGGGCTCAGCAAGCACCACAGTGGTCACCCCAGGCCAACTCTGCAAGCTGAGAAGAAGCTGGGAATCCAAGGCATCTCAGCTAGGCCAAAGATGAAGTCCCATCTCACAGTGTGGGACTGAGAACGGGACAGGTCCAGACAGACATCTGTGAAAGTCATCCGATGGTTCTGGGCCTGCAGCTTATGTGTTCTATCAGTACCCTTCCTCCTTTCCTTCTGCATTTCAGATGTTCAGACTTATGTGTATATATTAAACAAACTTTCTTCAGAAGGTAGAAATAAAATAGAAAAGGTGGTATCTCCAGATGTCAAGAGCCTGTGTGATCATCCCTTAGGTAGATTCTGAAAAATCTGCATCCTGGATAGCTGGTCTAGTAGCAGCAAGATGGAGGAAATACTGAGTCCACTGAGCCACTCCTTTCAGCGACAGAAAACTGACTGATCTAAAGCTGTGTCTTCATGGCACAGTAATGAGTATTCAATTCCATTAAACAGCTGAAGGAGAAGAAAGGTCGTTGTTGCATATATGACATTGTTTAATTCCAGTGATGCCCTGAGCAGTGGTATTATTATTTCAGCTTTTAAAAACAGGTATCAGAAGCTTAGCTTAGTTAAGCATCTTACAAGGCCACATAACACAAAAGACACAGAGACTTGACTCAGGAGCCTCCTCTCAGCTCATTTTCTTGCCACACGCTACATGGTGGCACAG